CACGGCCGGGCACTCCGCGGAGCCGCGGCCGCCGGGAGGGTTCTCGGCTCGGGGGTCTGGCCCGGGGTTCCGGGTGTGCCCGTGCTGGAGAGGCGCCCGCTGGTCCCAGGCGTTGTCCCGGGGCCCTGAGGGGAGCCCGGCCCGCGGAGCGAACGGCCCCGCGCCCGCTCAGCCCCCGGGGAACGGCGGCCTCAGCCCGGGCCTGGCAGCGCCGGGGCTGCCGCTCTGCCTTTGGAGCGATCACCGCAGCGCCTCTGCCCAAAGGTGCCTTCTTCGCTCGGCTGTGCCTGCTGAAGGTATCCCTTCTCACAGAAAATAGCGTGAGGTGACACTTAAAACCTGAACAAACTTCTGTGCAAGTATGTAAAGTTTTCGATTGTAGATCGCAGAGTTTTACTGAACAGTTTGCTGTAGATCACCGTGGAAAGGCAGCCGTCGCAGGCATGGGAACAGAAGGGTCAGAGGTATTGGAATAGGTATCCAATAGGGAGTATGGAACGGCTTGGCATCTGGTAGGAGGTTTCTAAGCTTACAAATGCGAGTTGTGAACACCTGTCTGCTTCATAATTTGCCCTCTCAGCTGTAAGAAAAAAACAAGTTACACACAAAAAATTTACTAGCAATCATGCAGGAAATGCACACTGAAAGGAAGTATGTGCATCTTATGAAGAACCTGCATAAATTAGTGCTGATTTTTTAAGAAACACTCAAAGCTTGTGTTGTAAACCATATAAAAACATTCTATTTTCACAAGCACAAGGTATCTACATCTGCTGAGAGCAGCTTCAGCAGCACAGACATGAAGGGGGGGGCTACATCCTCCTGTCCCCAGCATTCCTGCTGAGCCAGGGAAGGGAGCACAGAGTAACTCATCACACCCCTGCTTCACCCGCACAGCCAAAGCAGATCCCTGTCACACCTGAGATGGGCATCTTTTCCATGTTAATGCTTGGTGAAATGAATCGGTGTCCGTGTGCTGAAGGATGGAAATGCACAGTTAAAACCACTTCTCCCCAGCGCTCTAATGACATTTGATGCTGACAGTTGGGGTTTTGATTTCAGTTCTCCTGGACAGTGAGGATATAAAAGCGTTGTGTGCATTCCAAATTCAGCACAATAAAACCGCTGTGTACTGCTATGGAAGTTCTATCTTTGGCATATGAAGTTCTCTGTTGATTTACAATTTTTGAGATTTTTGTGCTACCACAATAAATTCTGACCCATTTCATACTATAAATCCAATAACACTATTCAGGAAATCAGGAATGAGTTATATTCAATCAGTTTTATTAGAACATTACAAAAGTTACCCAAAGTATCCTTTATACATATAAATCATGTTGTCCTTTCAGCTTTGAAAATGGTGTGATGTTTCATACCAGGACTACAGTGGGAGAATGGAGAACCTGCTGTTTACAACGTGGGAATATATCTGTTTTTTCAAATGCTAAAAGTTACTCTAATATCAATGAATCATGAAATACCAGAAACGAAAAATTTCACTGATCAAAGGCTGAATACTCCCATCCTGAACCTCACCCATTCCATATTTGGAATAAAACCCCCTATTTTATTAGCATGTAATAATGACTCAAAACTTTCTCTAGATTGAAATGCCAATGATGCTGTGCTAGAAGAGTCCCAGAGTGAGTTGTATAAGTGGCAAAGTATTCACAGAAAAAGGCAAATAATACTTATATTTTGCCCTTTTTGTTTCTGGTATCTTCTTAGCATTTAAAAGAATCAAATATTCTGCTTCCTGATGGGTTTTGCACAGTCCGAGTTAGGGACTATAATTTCTTAAAAAGCCACTTGATTGAGGGGTTAAGACAGAAAATTTGTTCATCATTTCATTTTAAGAAATGGGGATGCCATGCATTTAAAAGCCAAACACTGCATATTCAAATTGGCTCCTAATGGTATCCAGTACACGTAAAATTAAAGTTTGCAATTTTATATTAAAGTCAATCCTCTTTAAAATGTATTTGGTTAGTCATGACATGATGATATATTTTAAACAGAACTTATCTTTGTTAGTGGAGCCTTGACCAGCTCAGAGATCCATTCTAAGACCTAATTCATAGGCACAACCAAGAGCATCTTGCTGCTGAAAAGAAAATACCAGGTGACATTAGAAAGGACAATACAGAACAGAAATTAAACCAGCAATCACAACCCCTCCCAGTGTTATCAAGGATGTCAGTTCATTTTCATATTTGCTCTAACTTGCAGTGAGCCCATGCATTTATCAGAGCAAATTTACATTCTTTGTCCCTCAACATAGACTTGCAGAGCAGTGATACACACAGGAGGCTCATCTGTAAATCTTGTTACTGATGAGCCTGATACTTAATAATAATAATTATGACACTGTCCCTTGACAAAAATCAAATAAAAAAACTATATCAAGCAATCATGTATACTTGCTCTAGGAAACAGAAGCCTTCAAATGTTGTGAATGAATAATCCGAAGGAATAAATGTATGCATCATTTTGTCTGTTATTCAAAGCCTAATTAGGCATAAAAAATAAACTAGCATAAGAGTAATCATCAAAAATATAGTTAGCACATGAAGTTATAAAGGCGCTCTGTGATTAGTGACATCATTGATATTCTTGGTAAGAAAATTTATTTTTGAACCTAAAATGAGATTTGTATATTTTCTGCATAGACAAAATCCATGTGGTTCTTCATTAACCTAAGATCAGTAGAGATGAGACAGATGTGGGGGTGGGCAGGAAGAGGAACAAAATAATGCAAAACCAATTTGTTGCACTGAAAATAAATAGAAATAATAGCCTTGCAATGACAGTAATAATTTTCTTCAGATAGAGAGTAATAACTTTTTTAATTTCCCAATTCCAGAAAATGCTCATGTCACTGTAGTTTCTGTACATAATAAAAATAAATACAATTATAAGTTTAACACAATATTCCATTCCAGCATTAAAGATACAATAAGGAGTTTTTCAGGAACCTGAGCAAAACTTTAAGGTACTAATAAGCCTCACTGTTTCTTACTGATTTTGCATAATAAATCTCTTCCATTCCTCACTTCACTAATAAAAAAGGAATCAGAAGACCAGACCAACCCCAGGAGAATGTGCTTTTTGTCCATCCTATTGAAAGCTGTACGTAGGCTCCCGACTTCAACTTTGATAGTGTTGTTGATACATTGGTCTTGACTTATATTTACATGAACATCACTAAAGATCAAGTTTAGGCATGACTAATGTAAGAGATAAAACCCTTTATCTGTTTCCAGTCAAAGTGACATTATTGCAGGTGACTTTGCAATATTCCAGTATATGATTTCTAGGGAAGTTAAATATTTGTTTTCCAACAGTAGAAGCTACTTCCTGAAATGTCTCTTTAAAGCTTTTTAACAAAATTAGAGATGTAGCAAGAAAGTAAGAAAAAACCCTCCTAGAAAATCCTGGTTCTTTACAAATCTGTGACAGCTTAAGTTTGTGCAGATTTTAACTAAGGAAGGAAATAATTCACATTCCTCCAATTTTCATCTGTGCTTTCCAGCATGGCCACATGTAATTACAATCAGTAAATCCCACTACAGAAAAGCTGCATGCAAGCTATCACGAAAACATTGTCTTATGCATATGACTTAAACATACGTTTAGTCTATACATTAATTCTACTGCCATTTATTTCATTACTACTTTTAAGAGCCAAATAAGTAGAACTGCTTTTCGTTAAGGTTTCCAAATATTTCTATTACACTATCTTTTTCACTGAAATATAACTTTTGAAAGAAACTTTCTAGAAGACAAGGTCAGAGTTGTAAAACCTTCAGGGACTTAGGAACCTAGAGAAAAGTTGAGCCCCTAGTGAATTTGAAGGAATACTGTTTTAATATTCAGCCATATTCTGTATCATATCTAAACTTGTTGTCTGAACTCTGTCAAGTGCCATATTTGTTATCTGGTGCCAAACTAATTCACTGCCAAATCATATATGCTCTCTTGTCATCAGC